TCAAAAAGTACAACTGGGGGGCTCTTGCATTTGACATCAAGCTCTGCAAGACGAATGTCTCATCAAAGACAACAATGCGGGCTCCTGGAGATGTGCAGGGATCATTTATTGCATAAGTCATCATTGAGCATGTTGCATCGGTGCTCTCAGTTGATACTAACACCATTAGGAGGAAGAACCTTCATGACTTCAAGAGCCTTGCAGTGTTCTATGGAGAAAGTGCAGGTGAAGCTTCCACATACACCCTGGCCACCATGTTTGATAAGCTGGCCTCGTCTCTAGACTATCAGCACAGAGCTACAATGGTTGAGCACTTCAATAACAGCAACAAGTGGAAGAAACGAGGCATTTCTTGTGTACCTATTTCATTTGAGGTGCGGCTTCGGGCTGCTCCAGGCAAGGTGTCTATCATGAATGACGGTTCAATTGCTGTTGAGGTTGGAGGGGTTGAGATAGGCCAGGGCTTGTGGACGAAAGTGAAGCAGATGACAGCATTAGGGCTGGGACAGCTGTGTGCTGATGGCGGGGAATGCCTCCTTGACAAGGTGCGGGTTATCCAGGTCGACACATTGAGCATGATCCAGGGAGGGTTCACCGGTGGGAGCACCACTTCTGAAAATAGTTGCGAAGCAGTTCGGCAATCGTGCCTTATACTTGTTGAAAGGCTGAAGCCTGTAAAGGAGAGTTTGGAGGCTAAGGGTGGCACAGTGGAATGGAGTGCCTTGATTGCTGAGGTGAAAATACCCTTATGTTATGACTTTATCTATTGTCGCATACCAATTAACCTGATTGAAACAGATACCAAGAATCACATGTAGTTATTCAAATCTTTTGCCTCCCTCATTTCCATCATCAATGTACTGCAATCAATAGCGGTAGCAAATAAGTGTGAGGAACTCATGATTTGACAGTTCCTATTGTTCGTGCCATTTGTTTGTCATTTGCAGGCAAGTATGGCAAGTGTGAACTTATCGGCGCATGCATACTGAAACCCTGATCCAACTTCCAGTAGTTACTTGAACTATGGAGCTGGCATTAGTGAGGTACCCCTGATCCAAATTGCTATAATGATACTGTAAATGCAATTAACAAGCAAAATTGTTGGAGGCTGCAGTTTCAGTTCTTCTCGAAGCTGAGACATGATTGAAAATTTTATCACAGGTGGAAGTTGATGTACTGACAGGAGCAACCACGATCCTACGGAGCGACCTTGTTCATGACTGCAGTCAGAGCCTGAACCCTGCAGTAGACCTGGGCCAGGTTAGCCTCAAACAAAACCTGATGTTGTAGACCGTTGCCAATGGAAATACGCTGCTCTGAACACTGTTATTGATTCACTCAGGTGGAAGGCGGATTCATCCAAGGAGTAGGCTTCTTCACAGACGAGGAGTACAAGACGAACGCCGACGGCATGGTCATCCATGATGGCACATGGACGTACAAGATCCCCACGGTCGACACCATCCCGAAGCAGTTCAACGTCGAGCTGATCAACAGCGCCCGCGACAAGAAGCGTGTCCTTTCATCCAAAGGTGAAACTATTCTCACAGTGTCTCATCTCATCCCCTCGGACATTGTTGGTCGTTGCAGACTTTCTGAACCTCCTGAGAACTGCAAAAATACTGCAACTTGAGCTCACCAACGAGGCACCAGTGGCTGCCTGCGACCCTGACATACTCTCTGGATTTGATCTTTGCAGCGTCAGGCGAGGCACCGCTTCTTCTCGCGTCCTCGGTGCACTGCGCGATGAGGGAGGCCATCAGGGCCGCCAGGAAGGAGTTCTCTGTCTGCACCGGTCCCGCGAACTCCACCGTCACGTTCCAGATGGACGTGCCGGCAACAATGCCCGTCGTCAAGGAGCTCTGCGGCCTCGACGTCGTGGAGCGTTACCTCCAGAGCGTGTCAGCCGGCCCAGCCACCACAACTGCATAGATCCTGAAGAATGCAAGCGCCTCGGCCGTGCAGGAGGCTGATAGCCAGTGTAACTAAAATCATGGCGTGTTTAGCCTGGCGTGACGTGTGTTGTTGTGATGTACGGAGTATATTTAGAAGGGCACTGTAAAATAAGAATGGCTAGCAGCGAGCATGACGAATGTTTGGAGGAAATCATTTGCAACGAATCCATCGTCGGTGCGTACCTGGCTGGATAGATGGGGATCGATCGGCTCGGACCAGTTCGGCGCCTAGCCCAGCTGCCTGTTAGGCTTCAGGCCTCTCCGGCGGACAGTGGCCGCTGCGCTTCCTCGAGCGCCATTGGCTGGCTTGGTGCCGGTTGGGGGAGAGCGGACACGGCGAGCCCGATCGAATTGGCGGCGGGGAGGGGAATGAATCACCTCCGCTTGAATCGCGGGACCTAGCAGGCCTGCCAGTTCGGCAAGGGCCCCGGTTACTTGGATTCGTCGCAGCCGCAACGGGCGTATTCCGCCGCCGCCGCCGCCAGCGTGAGGTTGCCGGCGGTCGGTGGCAGGCGATCACTTCCTTCTTTTTGCTCTGGTCTCCCCTATTTCTCGACATGAATCAGATGCGTTGAGTTTTGATCTGACGGACGCCGTGTACGTGTGGTCGGTCGTGTTCCACTCACTGCTCTACGCAGACACCGACAAAACTGAAGACGTCGCTATACACGGCTAAGCAATTGCTGAACTGATCTTCTATAATCCGTACATATACCGTACTCACATTATCTACGCGCAAATAAGCTTCCTAAATTTCTACTCACTCCATTCTAAATTAGAAGATGTTTTAACTTTTGTAGGTTAATAATTTTTGTTACGCGCTAGATATATATTTATCACATATATATAGCAAATGACTACCTCCCATCCACTCGCCTCATCCAGCTTATCCACTCGTCCAGCTGAGTCATCGTAGTTTCTGAGAAAAAAAAAACACCCCAGGTCCGCAGCGGAGCTAGGATCGTGCTTCTCGTGACGGCTGGCCGGGGCACAAGCCGCCCACACACATCTCGTGCTCGCTGCAGCCGGCGTCCTCCTCCCCTACCCTGGTGGCCCCTTCCCCTACCCCGACGGCGCCGCTCCCCTCACCCCGGCGTCCTCTCCCATCGGGAGCGCCCAACATCCGCAGATCCGGTGGCACAGCGATGTTGCAAGGGAGTGGGTGGCTTTGCCCCACCTCGGCGTAGCGCCCTCCCCACCCTAGACGGCGCCCTCTCTCACCCTAGCGACCGAGCTCTCCCCCACCCTGGCTGCCGGAATCGACCAGACAGCCTTCTCCTCCCCTATGTTGCATATGTATGTTTGAAGTGTTTCAGACGTTTTAGATGTATGTTTCATTTGTTTCATATGGATGTTGCAAAAGTAGATTGGGGGATGTTGCATGTGTTGCATATGTTGCAATTGTTTTAGAGGCATGTTGCAAGCGTATGTCACGAGTGTTTCAGATGTATGTTTCATCTGTATTTTCTGGACGCATGTTGCAAGTGTGTTTATGTGGATGTTGCATGTGTTTAAAACATACATTGCATGTGTTTTATTTGGATGTTGACCTATGGTTGCAATATTTTTTAAGTGTTTTCCAGGTGTTTTTTCAAGTGTTTTTAGAAGCATATTTCAATTGTTTCAACTGCCTTTAGACGTATGTTGCAACTGTTGTATTTGGATGTTTTAAAAATAGATCGAGTGTTGCATCTCTTCTCCCCACCTTTGGCTGCATCGTCTTCCTGCAGCCGGCAGGGTATCCATACGACACCGTGGCCGGGTCCTTCCGAATTGGAAGCGTTGCGCGCCCTTCCTCTCTTGTCTCTTGGGCGGCATGGGCCCTGCGTGAAGCGCGAAACGGAGTGTAGTTTGGGGGCATCCGTCTGGACGTCCGGATGCTACCACTTCCGTATAGCAAATGCTATGAATTTAGAAATACCAAAACGACTTCTAATTTAGGACAGATGAAGTACGTAAGGTATACAGCTAAGTGTGCATTCACTTAGTACGTGTTCTCATGTGCTTATTAAACATATGAGAAATTAGGAGGCATTTTATATTAAGAAAAAATTGGCATCTAAATCTGCTTTGGCGGGAACTTAAATCTAGATGGTCTGCCAGATCTGGGATATACATCCACATTCTCGATCGGCTGAGCTAGCTCAGCTTCCTAACACGGATTTTTTTTTAAACCCAGCATAGACGCTGCGCTTAACATGTGTTATGAAATGTGGGTGATGAGGAAAGTTGTAAATAAATACGTTCAAAGCCTTTTCACTACCGAAAGATGGTAATTAAAGTGCATCCAAAATTACACAACGGCACACAGTGCCACCGAGATAAAACACCAGTAATAATAACTTCTTTCTTGTTATTACTTGTATTGTATGAGGCTAAAATCAAGTGATTTTTTTGGCCAAGCACTAAATCATTTCTTTCTAGATGGATATCGGATTATTTCAGGGCATTTTTGGAACAGATGAATGCAAAATATAGGGAGAAAACATAGAAATGAGAAATGAATAGAGGTATAAAACAAAGGATTAGAAAACACGGGAATTTTGTAGAAACAAGTGTTCGGAACACAGAAATACTAATAGCATCAAAGTCTGTTGGTTTGTGCTAAACACAGTTGCTTAGATTAAATAGGAACTAAATACTCCTTTACAAAGCGACATATGATAGTTATAAAATTTTGACATGTCTTGGACGAGCCCGCATTGCTGTAGATGTAGGTAGGGACTAGGGAGTAGCACATGCTGTGCATGCATGTAGGGAGAGAGCACGCAGATTAGTGCGTGCGTGCGCATGAGCCACAGGAGGAAATATTCTCATGAGGTTAGACTTTTTTTTTTCTGTCTCCAAAACTGCAGGTTTCATTACCTTTCATCTGAAACGGTTTGGGTCTCTTCCTTTATTCTAAACCCTAAACCTGCTACAGTGAAAATTCCTATAGAAACTTGATTCTTTTTACTCGAAAAAAAAGAACTTGCCTACGTTTTCCCCGTGAACCAAACATGGCCTCAGCGGTGAAATTAGCCAGCAGACGGAGTCGTGTCACCATCAAAGCAAGCGAGTTAAAGCATCCCAGCGATAATCATCGATGAGCAGGGCATCCAATCCTTGGAACGGCTCCCGCGCATCGTCGTCGTCGTCTTGCTGCTGCAGAGGGGCCGCCGGCGCGTGCTGTGCCGCCGCCAGCGCGTCCACCGCCGACGCCGGGTGCGGCGCGCGAGCTGCCGCGGCGTGCACGGCGATCTGGGCCTGCGTCCTGGTCAGCTCGCACTGCGCCGCTCTGATCTCTCCCAGGAGGCGGTCCACGATCCCGGCGCAGCCGTACACCGGGTCCTGCACCCGCCGGCGCGCCTCCATCGCCATCGTGTCCGCTGCTCTGGCTCGTTCGTGGACAGGGAGGTTCTACACACACGTACGACAGAAAAGAAATAGCACAGCAATTATTTACTTCCATGTACTACTAGCTTTTATATCTTTATTTATGACGTCACCATGCTCGATACCAATGGAAGATGATTCACAGTGAGTTTAGCTAAAAGAAGAACAATTGTGTTATTATGCTTAAATATGTACTTACTACGTACTAATGCTGGACGCTAAAGTATCCTGGTTAGCCAGTGGCAAGGAATTAAAAAGGAAAAAAAAGTCTACGCATGGCATGCATTACGGTGTAAGTACGTAAGATGAAGTGATGGTGCATGATGATCCATTTATCTACCTGGAGCATTCTTGCGACATTGCTGGCGCCGAAGACCCTCTGCACGCAGGCGTATCTCTGGGGATCCGTTGCCGGGAAGTAGGGAGCGAGGACGCAGTCTTGACCGCACTTCCTGCGCTGGTTCTTGCACGCGGCGCACCGCTTGCTGCCCGGGCTTCTGGCGGCGGCGGCTTCCGTGTTTGTTGCGCTCGTCGACATGATCTAGCGCAAGATTTTGCAGAGAGAGGGAGAGAAGATTTGCTGGGAGATTTCGAGGATCTTGCAAAGATATGCTGGCTGATAGCATGTATAGCATGGGGTGAGTGGTATATGGAAGTCTTCAACGGCTAAATTCCATGCCGGGAAAGAGAACAAATATGGGAAGTGGCAACGGCTCTCCATCTACCATGCATGGAAAGCAAGAAAGGAGAATTGCTGCTGCAGAAAAAAATTCGGTGCGTGGAGTCCGTCCGCACACCGCATCCGCCGTTCCGGCTTGTTCCGGCGCCAGCCGTCGGCCCCAGCATGATGCATCCTCCGCCGACATCACACCACGGCGCAGCCCGTCTCTCCCTCATCCGAATCGGCCTCGATGCGACCTCCAGATCCGCTACCACTGCTGGTGCCAATTCTTCAGTATGCAACCCTACTGGTGCGAAGCCCTCTTTGCCTATTTGGATTGCATGCAAGTGACTGTGATCGATTCTGAAATATTCCCTGGTCAGTTACGTATGGATTTGAACGCCTGGAACAAATAACCCTGAATGTATACATGGATACAAGTGACTTAATTTCTAGGTTCGCATTATGCATTGAATCACTTGAGTCCGCAAATTTATCACTGTTATTCTGACTTGTACATTTTCCAATCATGCAGTTTCTACTCCTAGCCAGTGTGCTAGCTTTCAGAAGTTGTTCCCAACTAGTAGGGATAAAAATATTCAAATGCACATCCATGGTCTTCCTGATGGTGCAAAGGCTTTTGAGGTATGTGCCAAGTTTTTGCTTTGTCATGATTGTCACTCTCAATTCCTTCGATCTGATTGCTGCATGCCGTACTGCAGGGTATCTAGAAATGAATGAGACTGTTGACATGGGCAATGTGATGTACAAGAATGATGTCTTCCTGAGCCCAAGCATATTCCAGAGCTCGAAATACTATTGTTGATTTTGGTACACAAATCCTCTACTAATGACCCATGGTGATGCTAGCTACACAAGGCAACAATTTGCTAAAGTCTGGACAAATGCTATTGTTCTGAAATTGCTTTATAAGAGTTGGTCGTACAGATGCTATAAGATGTAATATGCACATTGTAAATTTTTATCTAGAGTACATATGGAATATTTGTTGTGTTTAGAACTTGTATACAAGGTTGTTTTTGCTCAAAATGATTACACCATTACGTGATTGTTTCTCTGATTGCTTTTACGAAGATCTGGATTGTAAAGAGAGTAAGCAGAAATTGACATCCAGAAACTGAAGACTGAAATAAACACAGAAACTCAAAACTGAAATTGACAATCAAAAACTGAAAACTGAAATAGACACAGTGAAAACTGAAATTGTCCAAAGAATGCTGCAGAAAATAGAGATGAAAGTGTTGATCCAAAGCAATTGTGGTTTCGCCTAATACCGTTGGAAAGAAATTAATCAATCACCTGAGAAGGTCTGGAAAATAATCCAACAACCGTTGCGTAGCTCATTGGCCAAATTCTCCGCAGCTGTTGCCACTCTGAAAGCTCTTCAGTTTTGTGTCTGACTTTCAAGCTCTAAATGCTTGGTACATATTAAATTCAGAGTTTCAGACAGCTTCAAAGTTAAATATGTGATGATTTGGGGATCAAATCAGACACCAGGTGAGCACCAATGTAAAAGATTGTTTCAGAGTTTGGGGTGCTCGGTTGCTGAGAAATGAAAATCTCTCTCACTCTCTGACATGCTGTGCTCAAACTGAAAGACACTTCAATGAGTATGTTGAGTTGATATGACTCCCTTGTGCGAGACATTACAGGTGGAAACTCATTACAGGTATATCACTTTCCAATTCTTCCAAACATGCTCTTAGCTGTTTTGCCAATTTCACGGGATTGCTCGAGAACCAGAACATTGGTGGATTTGGGAGGTCGAGGCGGAGGTGACGGCGAAGGCAGAGCCGGACGAGGGAGAGAGAGAGGCTGCGTCGTGGTGGTGTCGGCGGCGGCGGCGGCGGATGCGTTAGGTCGCTCGGGTGGATGGGGCGCTGGAACGCGTGACCGCTTGGAGCCCCTCTCACGGCCTCACCCACAAGCGAGCCGAGCGAAGGGCGATGTCGTGCCGACCAGATGAGGATGAGAAGCCATGGCACACGAAGATTGGACACGCGTCATACGTAGACGGCAGGTGCCCACGCTGCGGCGTGCGGACTCCCCGCACCCAATTTTTTTTCCAACAGATACTAAATACCTACTTAGTGCAGATACTAAATACCTACTTATTTATTATTTATTTACACAAACTAATCTCATGGAGCCACCAAAGAACTAAAATTCGTCGGTTTTTGCTCACTGAATTCACCTCTAAGAACACTCGCGGCCCTTTGAATTGCCCGGCAGACTTTCCACACTTCATGCTTCATTGCCCCCTCTCGTTCCTTGTCACTCAGATTGGCCGACCGCGAGATGGCATCCGCGATCCCAGGGAAGAACGAAAACTTGCTTTCGTAATCCTCCGGAGGCGAGTACAACTAGGGAAAGAAACGCAAGTTTTAGTTTCGAAAGAAAAATAATGTACAAGTGCGCTGAAATGCGTTTCTCACCAGATGCTTAAACCACCCTCTTCCTTGGAGCCCTTCAGGTTGCAGGAAGCTTCTTTCGGCAAGTAGGAGGCGATCGTTCAACAATCGCCTCCTCATCCTAGCGTGCTCATCGTATAAATCCAGCTGTTGTAGCTTCTGGATTTTGATGAATGCGAACCAACAAAGGAGCATATCATCAGCCAGTTTCAAACACCAGTTCCAAATTGGAAAATAAACTATTCCATTGATGATCAGATTGTGAAAATATTGAACGACACTACCCAAATACATGAAAACAGAAGCACAGTATAAATCGATACCTTCATCTCCTTCAGAACTTCCATAGCTGCTGCAGAAAGATCATTGATGAATCCATTCATCAAATTTACTGCTTGGATATTACTCGTCAGGGCAGAAAATGCTTTTATATGCTCCTGTGACATTATAAATTTCAATCATATATTGAATATATATTGTAAGATACACTATAATAATGACTGAAAGCAAATTGGTGGTGGTTATGCAATATGTGTGAGTTCCCGTAGAGATTTACTGAATGGATATCTCCATGTTAAAAAAAAAAAACAATCACTGTGAAGTTACAGATTCAACCAATGGCACGTTAGGCGGTATTCTCCAATCCATACACCTTTGCAATGTAGAAATCAAGTGTGCATATGAAAGTCAACGTACCTGTAACTGTGAACTGTAAGCTTGATAATCAAAAGGTAACACGGGATCATTGGCCAATCGAAGAGCTAATAGTCCCCAAATTTCTGTGACTGATGAAGCAGGAAAACTACATAAGCACTCCTAGGATTACCACAAGAAATGCTAGCAATATATTATATTGACGCACCAAAATTTCGAAAATTGTTGAGTATGTAGTAGCTAGCTTTAAAGGCAACAATTCATTCTTCTTGTTGACCTTTTCGTATCAGTGCATTCAGTTAATCATAATTTTGATCAATATCACAAGCGCTGCAACCTACTGCTTTTCAAAACAAGTTACTTCGCAAACTATGTTTTTACTTACTAGCCAAATGACGAAGAAACAATGGATCGCCAAGCTTTTCCATCCAATTATAAGTGTCAAGAGCAGTATGGTAACCAGGAAATTCTGCATTAGCACTGCATTGGTTAGTAATGATGATCACAAACCATGTTAGAAGAATTTGTGATATATTATAGAACAAAATAGAGTTAGAGGAGAAATTGTAGGTGTTAACTTCGAGGTGATTCGATGAAAAATATTAAGCAATAACTATAGGCGCACATAGCCTCAAAACTGCACGTACAACTCAGACAAAAGACTTCAAAATGGTTAAGTTGTAATGATCCTCAAGTGAAGCTCCAGCAGAATAAATAGACATTAGAATACATTATTCTCTTAAGGAAAGAACCTATTCTGTTTTGACATACCTTCTCCATAGTACAAGTCTACAGAGGGAATTCCAGCATGATGTAGAAATGGAGCAAAATCGGAATCAGTTCGAGCAAGCCTTTCTATCTGCAGATTTGACATTCTTTAGAAATAGGACAAACAAATATAAGGCAAGCAATGATCAGTCATTCAAAATGATCTAGCTCTTTCTGTGAAGACATTAAGCCAAGCAGTAAGGAAGTGGCGAGAAAACTAGGAGAAAGTAAAAGGGAGTTATAGGGAGTCTAAAGCAGGTCATGAATTTGGGTAGTCACATGCAGGAACCAAGTATGTTCTTTCTTCTTTTTTGGTGGTGGTGGTGGGGTGGGAGCGGGACATGGCAAGATCAAAAGGAACGATGGGAGCATATGCCCTCCTCCAAGTGGGATTTACATGAGGCACCTCACATAAGACAGTACATTCCTGTTCTACTACCATCACAATACACAAGGTTGGACAAAGCAGTACAAAAAACTGTAATTAACAAACTATGCTCGATGTGGCCCAGCTGTGGTGTAACTGAATAACCATTTCACAACTAGAACTACGTGAAAATGCTACATAATAGTGTAACAATCTCTACATATGCAGAACAAATTTTCAAACTTCTTAATTCTTACTTTGATGCCACCACTCATTTCATTCCATGTATCATGAATCATCTTTCCCGTGACATCAGGATCCTTCACCTGGGAAACAAAAGTTTCAATTATAATCCATGTCATGTATTCATTCTGGTAGTCTGGTTTAGCCATACAGCACTACAGCAGACAATGGTATTAACATTAAGCAGGAGGTTTGATGATGTTAAATTTGTCTAGTAATAAGCCCAAATAATTATGCTTCAACATGATTTCAATACTTAGCTAGCTTCTAGATAAAAAACAGAAAAATACAACCGCGCAAATAAAAAATGCTTTTACCTGTCTTGTAACATCAACCAAGAGTTTGTCCAACTGGGGAGTAGAGCCAGCAAAAAATCCCACACCTTGCACAGCACAATCAACATTCAAGTAAGCTACAGCTTTGGAATGCAGATCTTCGAGGTTCTCTTCAACCCATTCAGTTGATCCTATCTGGGGGGAAAAAGAGCCTTCAAATTATAGACAAAATAAAAGTAACAAGAAGTAAATGTGCTGACAATTTGACAGCACATACAAACTTGACCTGATCTAACAGCAAAAAAGGGCATTTCATAGTATAGAGGAACTGAATGCAGAAAATTATCCAAAAAACACCTTATGCTGACATATTGAATTGCAAGGACAATTAAACTGCGACACTGCTATTCAGCATCACCTGTGTATTGTCATGAGTCAAAAGTTTTGGTAGTTGTGTTATTTGTGATTTAAACAATAAAATGACAAAAATGTTATGAGCATCTCTTGGTCCGTTTGCAGTTATACCTCATGTTTATACAGTAGCATCTTATCATCTTATCATCTTTCTTCCATGTCTACTTACCATCCCAAATTCTTCAGCGTCCCAACTACAAAGAATGATGGACCTCTGTGGTTTCCATCCTGATTGCAGCATCATTCCAAGACGCCGGGCAATGTCTAGAAGTGCAGCTGTCCCACTGTTAGGATCAACTGCTCCATAGGTCCATGCATCTCTGTGGTTACCGAGTATCACGTAACGATCAGGTTCTTCGTGTCCTTTTATGATACCAAAAATGTCTCGTATCTTACGAAACTTCCTGACCTCCTTAAACAAAGAGATAATAGCAATCATGGTGTATCCATCTAGAAAGTACAGGTACAGAAGTATTTACACAGAACTTGCAGCAATATGAAAGTCTAAAGCACATATTCATGCACATGCCATACCATAAGTAATCATGATGAAAACTGGCATTCTAATTTCTAAAATACGGTTGGGATGAACAAATTATACTTCACAAGAGCAAAAACCGTACAAGACATGGACTTATGGTTATGGAGAGTCATGTATTTAAAAGGTCACCTGGTTCAAGCACATGGTGGTCAAGGCATAGTACAGAGTAAGCACAACACAAATGCATAAATGTAGACAACAACATAAATGTCACTTAAACGCTTGTTCATAGCTCTAAATTTGATTAAGGAAAGGGCTTCATCCTAGTAAGCGGTTGGTCCAGTATTGGTAAATCCAACTCATTTAATAGCATGCACTATTCCTCATCTGCTACTAGCATTGTAATCATGTAGATCGGCATGCTGATTCAATAATTCATGCATTTTACAAACATGCCCCCCCCCCCCCCCAAACACACACACACACAAAATCCAACACGCACTCACAAAGGTCCACCACTGCCATGACAACAAGCAAGCACCAGCATTCCTTTATGGCTTTATTGGCCTTTCATTGCTGCCTCGACTGTAAATAGTTTAATTGTTATGGTATCCTAATGATTTGCTAATTATATCAAACCAAGCTCACCACTCACTACGTACTTCACACCTTTTTTGTTTAGTTCGTGGAATGGAATTGGTTGATCCATCACCACCTCATCCCCACAAGCTAATAATCCTTAGACCAAACACCCTTTTAAGTTCCATATACAAATGAAATGTTTTAAGTTGATAAGGAAATCAGTTAATGAATTTCACTTTAAGCAACAGGCATCCGTGGACATTCTATAGATGGAAGCACACAAATATAGACAGACAATCCAGCAAGATATAACAGAAGAAGCAAGTAATACCATATAAAGCTAGCGTCAATTCACTGCCTACATCCCGTTCCCAATGGAGACACCACAAATAGTATGCCATATGACTTCACAACAGCAAAGCAAATCCACATAGGCTTTTGGATCTAGCTGTCCATCCAGTTTGTCCGTATAGATGTCGTGTTGTTGTCTCTTAATAATAATCATATATAGAAACAAGACAGCAAGGTATACCTGATAGGTGAAGTTGACCAGCGTGGGGCCAGGTCCAACGCCACCGACATCCACCCCGAGGCCGTTCTTCCATTCAGCCGGCATGGCCGGACCACCCAGGCTTCGAATGATCGCTGCTGCCGTCTTGGCCGACACCGGCATGGAGGGGATAGTCGGAAACCGCCGCTTGACTGCCTTATCGTCGAACCCCAAACGCTCCGCACCACTGGTGGCGGCCCACCCGGGGGTGAGCGGATCGCCGGGGCCGCCGAGAAGAACGACTCCTCTCTCGACGCCGCCGTCCGCGTTGCCGGCGATGAGCACGGCGACGGCTCCCTTCTCCGCTGCGCGCGCCACCACCCCGCCGCGGTACCCGCCCCCGCGGCGCGCCACCGCGACGCGGCCGCGCACGCCCACCCCAAGCCTCTCGAGCGCGACGTAGTCCTCCTCCCGGCCGAGGTTGACGAACACCGCCTCCGCGACGGCCCCGCCGGACGGCGCGTACGCGTGGTACGGCGGAACGACGCGGTGCCCCTCGTCCGCGGGCTCCTCGAGCGACAGGCGCTTGAGCAGGGAGCCGTCGGGCCGGAGCAGCGCGAGGGAGGCGTGCCCGGGGTACGAGAGCAGCGGCTCGTACTCGCGCGTTAGGGTTTGGAGCCCCGCGGCGCGGAGGCGGGCGAGCACGTGCGCGGCGGCCCCCGCCGACGCGGGCGTCCCCGCGAGGTGCGGCCCCGCGGTGAGCGCGCGGAGGTCGGCCGCGATGCTCGCGTTGGCCCCCGGGGATAGCGACAGGAACAGGGCGGAGGTATCGGGGAGGCCGCCGCCGGCGGCGGCGGCCGCCACATGGGACCTCCCGGGGCGGCGGTGGAGGACGAGCAGCGAGACGAGGAGCAGCAGCCCGAAGACGACGACGAGCCGGATGGAGCCGTGGGGCAGGCGGGCGAGGACGGAGTGCGGCATTCCTCAGGCCTTACGCAGTACAGGAACTAGCTGCCCACACGCGCCAGTTCCGGCCGGCTTTGCGGCGGCGAGCGAATGAACGTGTGGAATGGTGAGGTGTGGGGTTGGTGGCGCCGCCAAATGCTTCCCTGCGTGCTTCGGTGCGTGCCACCGTGCCGCCGTACGCAGCTTTACGCCCGGACCCCGATCACGGAGCTTTTCCGTTGCCACTGCACTTCGTTAAAGCCGGCTGATAAGTCGGCTGCTCATTCGTCTTGAGAGGAAAATACGGCTAAGCCGGCTAATAAGTTTGTGCCCGATACTCCGGTCGTTCAGGTGCCCGCACGGGGTTGGCTGGGTCCGGCCGGCAGCGGCAAGTGGCGTGGCGGCGCGGTGGAGGGCGTCATGGTCGAGCGGTGCAGCACCGGCCAGGCGGCTACCGAGCTGAGATTGCGGGATTTTGTGGAGAGCATCGCGGACCTTTCCGTCGTCTCTGGCCCAGCTGGAGATGGACGTCGAGTGATGTGTGGTGCGCCGCCACGGTGCTGAATTTCCGCTGAATTATCAGCGTCTTTTACACCACCAGATGTGGGACTTGGGCTGGATCGGGCTGGCCCTCCATGCCTCGTGGCATCATTTACGCTACTTTTGTCGTGCTGTACCGTCCCGATAAAACTCCAGTTTGGTACTGGTGGTATTGTCATTTCATGACAGCCCAAGGGCGGACTGCGTCAGTGCGTCCTAATTCCTCCAAGAGATGGGTTTATCTTGTTTGCAAACAAAATAACTCACAATTTGTCCACAACCAAAATAACTCCAAAACGAGGGTTTGTCTTGTTTGCTACTGTTTGGGTGTTGTAATTTGGCCTCATCTCGGTGGTGTACCAGGTGCTTCTTTAGGTATTCGCTATATTCAGGAAAAATTAAGCCAAAATATCCAAAGACGATAAATATGACATGTAAAACTCCTTAGCACACTAAAGTTTTCACATAACCAGCATTAATATTGAGCCTACCATTTTTAAAACAAATTCTTAGTATCAAGGTGTTTTTTTGGTTTAGCTGTGGGTATGCAATCAATTGTCGATGCTAGCTATTATAGGGGAACTAAAAACGCTATTTGGTTGGTTCACAGTGTGAGTGCTACATGTTCTTCTTCTTGTCCTTGGAGAAAGAGGGTGGCTTCTCCTTGTTAGCACGAGGGGCGGGGACTTGGCTGGACTCAGTCCCTGGTGCCAGCACCATGGCAGACATCTCTAGCACAAACGCTGGGGCGCAACCACTTGTGCCTCAACGGTGGGAGCCATCGACGGGTCCTTGGCCTTATGCTTGGTCGGCACCGCTTCGGGAGCCGAGGTGGCGAGGGTGGTTGGCACGATGGTTGGTTTGGAGGAGATTATGGGCGTGAGTAGGGATGGCAACGGGGCAGATTCGGATCAGGTGGAGCCTTCGTGGATCCGAACCCGAAACCCGAACTCAAAATCCGAAACCACCCCGAACACCGGTTCGGGTGACAATCCAAACCCGAGACCAAACCCGGTGGATCCCCGAAACCCGATTGGTTAACCAAAACCCGAAACACACCACTCTATGACAGTACAAAAAAATAATAAGAAATTTTAGCAACATATGCATGATATATATTACATATTCACATATATAAACAAGAGGCAATAAACAACACACCATTTCGTCACTCAACTTAGAACAAATTTTATAGCTTACATAAACAATTTGTTAATAATGACACATGAGTTTTTTTATTCAAAATGTTCTATTTCGGACCTCCATTGGACATCCACGGGTGAAAACCAAAACCTAAAACAGAACACGATAAGTTTTGGGTCCACGAACCCAAAAACCGTGGGGAAAACATCGAACCCGAACCCGCTGGACACGAAATCCGCGGATATCCACCCCGAACCCGACCCATTGTCATCCTTTAGCATGGGCGCGAGAAAGACGGGGTGGAGCACACGGGCCCGCGTGAGGATAGGGGCGACGTTGATTTTCCCATCCCTACAAGTGGATCCCTTTGGAAGGGGGGTGTTTACACCAAAATTTGAAAGAAGGATTACAGAAACTCGAAAGCTCCCAAGATCATGTCATCAAGGAATCGATTGCATAAAGGACAGTATCCGCTGATTCGAATACAGCACTGGAATCGGCTCTCTTCAGATAGCGCCAGCAGATAACTATAATAGCTACAATCGGTGCCAGAAAAAACATGTTGGACTCTAAAAAAAGAAAAAGATTATGGTCCAAGTTATCTTAAATTAGGAATGTTTTCTTTTAGGCCAAAAAATTATAATGAGTCGTGCTTAAGTAGGATTCATACGTGGGTTCCGGGTATAAATATTGGACCCTGGCTATCGTAAAACACACGATCAATCAAATACAAGTTACTTACTTTTTTCGGCTCCGGCCAACCCTTATGAGTAGGAATAGAGTAGATCCCGGCGAGTTCTTCAGCGAGCAGGGCTGCATCGGTCCAGCCGACCTCCGGCTTGTCTGTAAGTACCGTCATGGCTTATACTTCTGTTCGTACGGCTGTATCGATCTGGTCGACCTCCACTGCGACTCTGGTATAAGCTAGTTATTGACTCTTGTCTAGTTCAAGTACGGCTGCATCGACCCGGTCGACCTCCACTGCTCGAACTAGATTAAGGTCAAGTTATCGGCTCTATCTAAGGATGACGTCCTTCGGGTAGATTCATTAAGTTACCGATATTGCTTATTGCTTTCATTATTTATTTAAATTACAGCAATATCACTTTGCCCCGATTAGGATTGATCTAGATCGGCTTTATATCCTGTTTAACCCATCGTTTATTAATCTAAGCTGATCTAATCTGCACCTTAAACGATGAGTTATGTTTTATCGGCTGTTTTATATCAATCTTGATCGTGTATAGTGTGCGGTTAAGGCATGCCGGGTCTTGAATAGATCTATCGACTAACGAAAACCGTTCCATGGCCCGTTATCACGGCCTATGTGATTCTGGTTCACACCTCACTATTAGCACCATGGAGCGGGGACCGTTATTTGGTAGATCCGTTCCTGATAGAGCATGACCTTAATTATGCGCTATGCCTGAATCGGCTGTTTTAGCCGATATCGAGTGCTTTCACATATACAGTTCACGCCATGAGACCGTTGAAGTAAGGGTAGGTTGAAAGATATGTTAGCCCTATGATCTTATTATTTTATTACGGCCTGCATGATTCTGCCTCATGCCCCACTGATATTAGTAATAAGTTAGGGTCGTCGAATCTATTGTTGTTTCTAGGGCCTGCATGATTCTACCTCATGCCCCACTGGTTATAGCGATAGATGAGATCTAATATGTTAATTAGATTTATCTCTATTAAATGGTTAAATGATGATGAGCTGTTTCCTAATCTTTTATATAAAAAGGGATTCGGTTACTTGCAGTCATTGGCTTAGCACAAACTGATTAGTGTTGACATCCTATTGCCATTGACTAATATTTGCCTAAATAACGATGTTCATCCTGAATGATAACCGATTTTTCTTCCATAACTCCAGGAGCTTTAACTGATTTATTTTTATGAGTATGCTGGAATTGGCTATTTAGTCGATCTCCTTTCATATCGGCTCTTAGAGCCACATATTCGGAACTGTGTGGCAATACCGGCATGTTCCGCCTTAAATTACTCATTAACTTTCTCTCTTTGTCAATTGCAGGGTCAAATTGACTGGCACGTCTTGGGAGGAGTACGCAGGATTGATCGTCCCTGTGTTGAAGCCAGACGGATCTCCAGCTCTATCGAGCAGACCCTTCTGGCTTGCTCATATGCCCGGCACGAGATGAATTTTCGTGCCGACACACGTTCTGGCACGCCTGGTGGGACCCCACAATCATCATGGTGGCTTACAATAACAACGACATCCTTATGGTACCTTATGAAGACCTACCTGATGGAGATAAAGATGTCATCAGTAAAGCTATAGAAGAATTTTAGAACAAGTGTTTGTTGTCCTATATCAAAACACATGACAATACAATTGTTCAGAAATATCCACTACCAAGAGTTCTGTTGCATGGGCAGACAGATGCAAATGAAGCTGAAGAAAGACGTTTCTTCACAGAAACTATAAACAAATCTGTTCGTGATGCCATATCAAACCATAATGAAGTTTTCTTGAACACATTTCACAACATCATGAAAGAGGTGTTTCATGGGTTTCCAGTTGATCAGGTTGTGCTGGCTTATTACAATATTCCATATCCATCGATTCAAAGGACTAATCAAGTCGATACCAGCCATCAAGAAGCAGCACCAGCTAATAATGATGATGTCCAGGTAGTTCAGAGTTCATCTGTGCAAGCTTAAGGTACTACTACGAATAAGATACAGTACAATCCTAGATCGTCAGTGCAGCATGTGCAACAGCTGACGGGGCAAAGTTAGAACCAGATGATTAATTTTGGCATATCAGGCCACATACCGTCATCGGCTCAAAAAATAGCACCATCAATTCAAAGGATCCGTAGAGATATAGATCCTCATGTCTATAATCAGAGACTTCAAGCAGCGAACCAGGAAAGGGCCCAGCAGATAGAAATTTCATAGGGGTATCATTATGGCACTATCAACACGAAATTTCGTCCCGTGCCGAGGGCACACGAGCAAGCCGAAAGGATCCGCTCGATGGAGCTAGAGATCCGTTTGGCTTCAGCGCAGGGATGGTCGATCCTACGCACTTCTCCTGAGACGTGCCAGTCAATTTGACACTGCAATTGACAAGGAGAGAAAGTTTATCAGTAATTAAGGGCGGAACATGCCGGTGTTGCCAGATAGTCCCGAATGTGCGGCTCTAAGAGCCGATATGAAAGGAGATCGACTAAATATTTGATTCCAGCATATTCATAAGAATAAATTGGTTAAAGCTCATGGAGTTGTGTAAGAAGAATTGGTTATCACTCTGGATGAATATCATTGTTTAAACAAATATTAGTCAATGGCAATAAGATATTAACAATAATTAGTTCATG